CCTGACTCTATCCCTAACCCTAACCCTAACCCTAACCCTGACCCTGACCCTGACTCTATCCCTAAACCTAGCCCTAACCCTGACCCTGACTCTATCCCTAACCCTAACCCTGACTCTAACCCTAACCCTAACCCTAACCCTGACCCTGACTGTATCCCTAACCCTAACCCTAACCCTATCCCTGACCCTAACCCTATCCCTGACCCTGACCCTGACCCTGACTCTAACCCTGACCCTGACCCTAACCCTAACCCTAAACCTGACCCTATCCCTGACCCTGACCCTGACCCTAACCCTGACCCAATGACCACCCCAACCCTGATCCCAACTCTATGCCTGACCCTAATTTAAACCCTCATCCTGACCATTACTCTGATCCTGACCCTCGCCCGATTATTAACCCTAGGTATACCTGACCCTACCCAAACCCTGACCCCAAGTGTGACCCTACCCAAACTCTGACCCCAAGTGTGACCCTACCTGAACACTGACCCCAACCATGACCAATCCCTGACCCCAAAATGCCCCAACCATGACCCTACTCCGAACCCTGACCCTGAACCCCGACCCCAACCGTGACCCTACCCCGAACCCTGACCCCAAGCGTTACCCTACCCCACACCCTGACCTATTACAGGGAGGACGTATCCCCTTGTGCTGTGACATATAGCTAGGGGTGACAAAGCCAGGATCACTGCGAGATCCGATGGGGAATTTGGGAGAAGGGCCTGGTGCTGCGGGCGGAGGGGAGAAGGGGTAGTGTCGGAGAAGTTACACCATTTCTCTCTCTCTGTCTTTCCCTTTCCCACTCTCCAAACCGTTCGTACGGGTGTCTGCTCCTCAGAATATTTACCAGTGGTGCGGCTCCCTCTCGAACATGTACGAGAAGCAGAAAGCAGGAGAATTTGCCAGCTCCATTCGGGATGTCGAACGTCGAGGGAAGGCCCAGGTCATCTTCGTTTCAGACGGCGAGGAACCAGAGGAAATGACAGAGGTGAGACCGAGAGAGACAGGCAGCGAACGGGGGGCAATGGGTGCCAAAGGTTGAGGGCTCTCCTGGCCGCCCCTATTTAACAGGGACTGGCAACTTGCTTGGTCCCCACCCACTCAGAATGGGACGCGCGCCCTCAGCTCTGACCTCCTACCTCTCTCACCGTGCATCTCAATGCCTAATCCACTCTGCTCCCCTTCCACAACCTTACTCCCAACACTACTTCCGCTGTCGGAGGGTCAGTGCTGAGGGAGCGGGCACTGTCGGAGGGTCAGTGCTGAGGGAGTGCCGCACTGTCGGAGGGTCAGTGCTGAGGGAGTGGGCACTGTCAGAGGGTCAGTGCTGAGGGAGTGGGCACTGTCGGAGGGTCAGTGCTGAGGGAGTGGGCACTGTCGGAGGGTCAGTGCTGAGGGAGCGCCGCACTGGCGGAGGGTCAGTGCTGAGGGAGTGCCGCACTGTCGGAGGGTCAGTGCTGAGGGGGCACCGCACTGTTGGCGTGTCAGTGCTGAGGGAGCGCCGCACTATCGGAGGGTCAGTGCTGAGGAAGTGGGCACTGTGGGAGGGTCAGTGCTGAGGGATGGGGCACTGTCGGAGGGTCAGTGCTGAGGGAGTGCTGCACTGTCGGAGGGTCAGTGCTGAGGAAGTGGGCACTGTCACAGTGTCAGTGCTGAGGGAGTGGGCACTGTCGGAGGGTCAGTGCTGAGGGAGTGGGCAAGGTCGGAGGGTCAGTGCTGAGGGAGCGCCGCACTGTCGGAGGGTCAGTGCTGAGGGAGTGGGCACTGTCAGAGGGTCAGTGCTGAGGGAGTGGGCACTGTCGGAGGGTCAGTGCTGAGGGAGTGGGCACTGTCGGAGGGTCAGTGCTGAGGGAGTGCCGCACTGTCGGAGGGTCAGTGCTGAGGG